TGGGTGCCCTGCCCCTTAAGCAAAAACCCCCCAAAAAAAAAAAAAAAAAGAAAGCTGCTCCTACCACCCCGTCCTTACCCACCTAGTTCCTCACTCTCACTTCCCACAGGGTCTGGAATTCTGAGAAAGAAATTATGCAACCAACTCCCACCCTTGCTGTGAGCCCTGGGAGCCCCTGTCCTCCCGGGGAGGAGATTTGTTCTCCAAGCTCTTCACAGTGGGTGTATGGTTCCAGCACTGGAAAGGCCAGGGCCTGGTAGGGTACCTAGATAGGTAGATCCTAGGGGCCCTTGTAATGGCCCAGACCTGGCCAAAGTGGGTACTCCTAGAGGCTGTGGGCTTCTTTAATTTGTTTGTTTGTTTAATTTGCTAGTGAGTATGTGCACTTGCAAGAGAGAGAGAGACAGAGAGAGAGGGAGAATGAGAAAGCAACCCAATGGGGGATGGTCTTGCTGCAATCCCTTCTCCTCCATTTCTCCTTTTGGGATTTGGGGCACACACAAATGTGCCTGGTGCACTTTTCATGCCGTTAGGTTGGTCCAGTACTCAAATTGTGCTGTTGACCACGTGGGATCCAGCCACCTTAACCAACCATCAGCTGGCTCAGCCATGAACTTCTGAAGGCTATTTCCCAGATCCTGGTCCTCGAGTCTAACATTTGGTATAAGAAAATGTAGAACCAGTTTAGCTTCTCAGATGGAGCCCAGAACCTCTGAGAGCTGGAACGTGTATTTCCACAGAAGGGGTCTGTCAGCCAGGGATGGGGGCTCTGTACAGCTGGGATGGAGGCTACCCTTCCCCCCAGCTCTTGCTTGATGGGCAGTGAAGACTAGGACCCCCTGGGTGGGATGCTCTGCAGAGGTGTCCAAGAAGATAAAAACACATCTCTAGCTAGAGGTCTTGTCCAGTCTACTCCCTGAAAACCAGCGGAGGGTCCTGAGGCTGCCACAGATGCTAACATTGTGGTAGCATGGTAAATAACCATCAGCAATTTCAGTTTATTCTCATATTTTAATAGATGGTGCTACTGGCAAGGGTCTAGCTCATGTGATTTTATGGAGAACTTGCTTATTGCTTTTCTTCAACCAATGAAAAATATTTCTTTTGTTGCTATATCACTACCCATGACACTCCCAGCCCCTTTTCAGAGAGATTTTTGCTATAGGGCATGTGTACTTGTCAGAGAGACAGAGACAGAAAGCAAAAATTCACCCTCCAGGGAGGATGGCCATGCCACAATCCCTTCTCCTCCATTCTCCTCTCAGGATTTCGGGCATGCACACACATGTGCCCAGCATGATTTAAGTCACCTAGTATGGGACTTGAACTGCGGTGGACTACGTGGTAGTCCAGCGACGTAACCATTACACCATCTGCTCATCCTCCCACAGCCCTTTTAAAACCAATATTTTGGGGACCCTTTAGTCTGGTCCTCAAAGCACACCTAAGCCCTGGGCTTTAGGAGCAGGTAGTTTATTTGGGAGGCTGCCCAGGAAGTACAAGGCTGAGCAAGGGAGTAGCAGTGGGCAAGGGTGATAGCTTCTGAGAGTGAGCCAGGTGGGGCTTCTGACCACTGTCGCTACCTCCCCAGTGCGACCGCCAACCCCAGTAGCCTTGCCTTCATCAGTGTCCCACCTCCCCTAGGGCATCTGTGCCCTTCTCACAGAGGCAATCAGGAGCTCCTTCTGGATCTTCCATGGCTTCCCTATAAGGCAGTCTGCTCACCCACTCTCTCTCCAGGGGCCTCTTTCTGCCTTCCTTGCCCCACAGAGGCCTTTTCAGTCCCTCACCTGTGGCCACTGACATCCTCCTCCCTATTTTCTCTCCATTTTTTAGCCTTGCTAAGACTTCAGCCTCAAGGGGGCCGTTGACAAACCCCCTGTAACAGGGGGTCTCCAATCCCTTTCTTCCTGGCCCACCTCCACTTGGGTGCTCCATTTATGCTTCCCTGATCTTCTGGTGCAAAGACAGAGTGCTCCTCTATCCCCAACCCCAACCTCTCAGCATCCCAGCTAGGCTGCTGTTCTCCTGCCTGATAGGGCTGTCCTTGATGAGGCCACCATTCTCACTGAGGTGTAGTGGGGGCACCTACCAGGGAACCTACTGGAATGGGTGTGGGACTCTGGCTGTGTGTGTGAGTATATGTGTGTGTGTCCTTGAAGCCAATAGCACTACCAGCCCCCCTCTGGGTGCTGTCCTAGGACCTCCCCACAAAGTCACAGGTACCATCTCCTGTGGAGGCCACCCAAGAACTAGCCAGACACATTTCTGACCACAGCAGTGATAGTGCTCAAGGTGTGGTCTGTGCAGGCTTTCCTAGAGAGGCCACAGGATGGCCATCCTGCCCGTAGCAGCTTGCTCTCTGACTTCAAGACTAAGCTAGCTCTTCCTAGAGTCCTGAGGTGGGCAGAGGAACCCCAGTGGACAACACCTGGTGGGCCACAGGGCAAGGGGCTGAGGAGGGGAGGCCCTGCATGGATTGCCACTCTACCCTTGCAACTTCTTAGTTCCCTCTGGGATTCATATGGGCTGTTTCCATGAATCTTCTTCCAGAAACATGCCAGGTTGTTAAATGCCTGGGCACCCGCACTGAGGGCACTGTGCAGCCCTGGGCGTAGTGTGTGGGTGGTGCCCCAATCATGGTCCTTGAGCACTGTGTCCTGGGCTGGCACTGTGAGGCTCTGCAGGCCAAGGCTGGCTCAGGCCAGCTCTATCACTGTGGGAGCCAGTGCAGGATGCAACCCGGATCCTTGTTTAACGATTAATAAGAACTTCAAGGAAAAAGAAAAGAAAAAAGAAGAACTTCAAGACAATGACAGTAGAACATACATGAAGCATAGACCCTTATGAGTTCAGGGAAGCTGGCCCTGGGTCAGTCTCAAGCATCTCTCAGAAAAATGCCATCAGGTTTTTTTTTTTTTTTTTTTTTTTTTGTTGTTGTTGTTGTTGTTGTTGTTGTTTTGGCTATAGGCTATGTGACCTTGCCAGAGACAGAGAAAGAGGGCGAGTGAGAAATTGCCCACTGGAGGAATGGCCATTTCAAAATTTCAAGCACACACATGCACTTGGTGTATTTTTCAGGCTGCCTCATCTGGGACTTGAACAACACAGTCTGCCATGTAGGATCAAATGCCTTAACCATCATGCTACCTGCTGGCCTCACCATTGGTTTTCTTTCTTTTTCATAAAAACAGAGCCCCTGTTTAAGATAACTTTAAAAATACTTATCCACTGTGAATAACTTATGCTTATATGTAAATAAGAAAGCAACACTGGGCTAGCTGGTGGTGTGGTTAAGGTGCTTGATCGAGCCCACAAGGCTGGTGTTGTGGTTTGAGTTCCGGACCCAGTGGCTTGAAGAACACGCTAGGTGAGTGTGTATGCATTCCCAAAATCCCAAAAGGAAAACGGAGGAGAAAGGACTGTGGTGTGGCCATTCACCCAGAGGGGAGAATTTTTTACTTTACCTCTCTTTCTGCCTCTTTCTCGAGTGTGTACATTCCCTATGGGAAAAATCTAAAAAAAAAAAAAAAAAAAGGCAAGACCAGCTCCTAGTGGTGTATCATTAGGGCCAGCAAGTGGTGTGGTGGTTGGGGCACTGGACTCCCACATGGCTGACCACAGTTCGAGCCCTGAACCCTGTAGCTTGAAAATCCGCTCCCGATGCATTTATATACACATCCAAAATCCCAATAGGAGCGTGGAGGAGAAAGGACTGCAGTATGACCATCCACCCTGGGGGGTGATTTCACACTTTCCCCCTCTCTCTGTCTCTCTCCGGTGAGAGAGACAAAAATCCCCTATGGCAAAAATCTAAAAAGTAAATAAGTAAAATAGCCTAATGTATCGCAAGCCAGATACCAAATTGTTGATTATGATGCAAACCTAGCAGCTTGAAAAACATACTGGGCACATGCATGTGCACGTGGACTCCAAATCCCAACAGGATGGAGAAACGGATGAAAAACGATTGCAGCATGATCATCCCCGTTTGGGAGGTCTCTCTCTCTCTTTCATGCATTTGTCCTCTGACAATTAAAGAAAAAATTTTAAAATGCAGGCTTGTGTCAGTGCTTTATTTCCTCCCACCCATTAGATGGCCAAGGTGCTATATGAGTCACTGGTCCTGGTTCTCTGGAGTAGCCCCTTCCCCAGGCTAGATACAGCCCCTGTAGAGCTGATTGCTGCCTTCTAGAGAGACTCCTGGGCCTGAAATCTTTCTGTCTGTCTTCTTCAGGGACACACTCTGGTCCAGGACTGCACCCTTCCAAGGAGAGTAAGGAGGAGCAAGCCAGCTGTGAAAAGCCTAGCTTAAGAATCAGCTCCACTATGCACCTTCTGTGTGAGGTTGGCCATGCTACTTACCCTCTCTGAGCCTCTGTTTCCTCAACTGTTGGATAAGTACCACAAAGGAGCACTCTCGCTAGATGTTTGTGAGGATGAAGCAAAAACAAGCATTCCAAGTGCCGAGGAAGCTTGGCCCGCAGCAATCACTCAGCAAGAGCTGGCCAGCGAAGAGCCGTGGGCCTAGGGCACAGACATTACCATCCACTATTCCACGGGCCGGCTCACTCAACTCTCTACAAAAGTCAAGTGGGCAGCCACAGAAGTGCCCAGAAAGGCATGTGGACTTCTGCAGGCCCCCTCAGGGTGCTGATTCTCTGGACACATTCTCTGGCCTGCCCGACACTGCACAGCCCTACTTGGAGAGAGGAGAGACCATCCTGGGTCTGGAGTACAGTCATGAATCAGAAAAGGCCCGAGAAAGTTCCAAAGTCCCAGGTGACAACAGGCATTCATGCCCTGTCCCAAGAGATAAAGCTAACAACCAGTAGTCCTGAGTCAAAAAGAGCATATTCCTCTTGGTGAGAGGGTGCCTGCTTGCTTTGAGGAAAACAAAACAACTGGAGCTTCTTAACCAGAAAGGTGACAGTTCAGGGACCGCTCAGGTTCTCAGCCTAGGAGGAGGTGAGGGAAGGACTCACCTTGTGCATCTTAACTTCAGACTGGGACTTGATGATGTTGCAGAAGCGTTGGAAGCCCAGCTCCTCCAGCTGAAAAGTGGCCAGGTAGCAGATCACTGAGGAAACAGAGACCACGAGGTGTGAGGTGGGCCATTTTCCCCCTCCCCCAGAAGGAATACCTCTGTATTTGATTGTGGAGGAATTCCTCCGGGGACTCAGGGCCCTTACAGGTGCACTAGGTGCTCATGGAAACCAGAACCCAAGGCTCTGCCATTATCAGCTATGTTTGGAGAGGCAAAAACTCCTGTCTGGCACCCACAGGAACATGATAATATAAAAAATACAAATGCCATCATCTTGTAAGTGTGGGGCATTTAGTTTGCCTCCCCACCCCACTCCCCCAATTTTTGCCATAGGTTGTGTGTGCTCACCAAAGAGACAGAGAGAGGGGGAGTGAGAAACCACCCTCTGGGAGAATGGCCACATGGCCACAATCCCTTCTCCATTCTGCTCTTGGGGTTTGGGGCATTCATGTACACATGCCCAGTGTGTTTTTCAAGTCTGGGAATTGAACTGCAGAGTCAGTCATATAGAATCCAGTGCTTTAATCACCACACCACCTGCTGGACCCCTTTATGGTTTTCAAAGCACTTCCACATAGAGTGTCTAATTTGATAAATTCTCAGAAATTTCAAAAGTGTCCTAGGTAAGGGAACAGCAGTTAGCGTAATGGCTGTGTTGCTGGACTCCCATGTAGTCGACCGCGGTTCACGTCCTGGACCCAGTGGCTTGAAACTCACGCCGGGTGCGTGTGCATGCGTGCCCAAGATCCCGAGAGGAGAGTGGAGGAAAAGGGATTGCGGCATGGCCATCCCCCCTGGGGGGTGATTTCTCGCTTTCTGTCTCTTTCTGGCGAGCGCACGCGCCCTATAGCAAAAACCTCTCAAAAAAAAAAAAAAAAAAAGCATCCTGGGTAAAAGAGAAATCACTTTGGATTTTGAGTGTGTTAATTCTGAAAGGTTGAATTACTTCAAGCCCATGGGAACTTGAATGATCCTGGGCAGGTGAGACTTCTCAGAGGCAGCAGGCCTGGTTCTGGACCTGGCATCAGGCTGCCCAGCTCAGCCTCCAAGCACCCTGCAACCCTCACCCCACCCCTTGTCCCCTCTGGATGGGGCAGTAAGGCCAAGCACATGATCCCAGTGCTGGACTCATTTCCCTCTGGTGGCTGCACTACCCACCCTGTCCACAATAAGTGCTCTACACCAGGAAAACAGTCAATATTAACCCCAGAAAGCCCAGGCAGAGACTTCAATCATATTTAATCCCTTCCAGGGCAGTCCAGATTGTAGCCATAGGACCAGCTCTTCTTGAAGGCTTTGAGGTCAGGGGTCAGAAACTCAGTCTATGAAAGGCTTATCATTTCACCAAGATGGGCATTCTGGGCGCATTCTTTCTCAACCAGGTCATTACCTTCCTCAGAGGTCAGAGGCTCTAGACAGGAATATGAGGCTGGGAGCTGTCTGCCTTGAGCCTGGCCTTCAATGAGCCTGAGGCCTCAGTTTCCTATCTGTAAGGAAGGGAAATATTCCACCTGATCTGCCCACTCGGGTAACCTGAGGATTAAGTGAGGTAAGGCTTGCGACTCCAGGAGGCAAAAGCACCTCAAACACAAGGTGAGTGAGTCTGTCTGCTGTCCTAACAGGGCTCTTCTGTTGCGGGTCTGCAGCTGATGGTCTCCGTGGCTTGGCTCCCTTGTGTGGGAGATGACAGGAGGCCTGGCCCTCAGAGATGTGTGGGCTCCACTGGTCAGGACAGGCACCTACCCTGGAAGAGGCTGTAGTCAGCCCATAGGCAGAGCCGACCGTCACGCACGTAGAAGGCATCCACCACAACAGTCAGTAGCTTCCAGTACTCAAGGCACCCAGACAGAACCTCCAAAACGAATGTCTGCTTCTGGAGGCTCAGAGCCTGGAAGAGAAACAGCTGGGGGAGTTTTGATGGTCATCAGAAGGCAGTTGCTTCAGATGCAGATGCTCACGCCTCAGGGAGGGGTGTCCTCACATGGCTGGGAAGAGGCCAGTTAGCATGACCTCCAGAGTAGCTAGCAATCAGAATCACAGGAAACCCCCAAGGGGCTGCCCCTACAGGTCCTCCCAGGCAAGTGACAGCAAGGCGGGTGCAAAGATAGAACTAAACATGGGAAATGAGACAAGAAAATGCACGACACAGGGCCAGCCCTCAGCCTGGATTCCACATGGCTGACACTGTATGGTTCCAGACCCTGACCTGGAGGCTGGAAAAACACTCCCAGCGCATGTGCATGTGTGCCCAAAATCCTGAGTAGAGAATGGAGGAGAACGGAATGTGGTGTGGTATCTTCTCTAGGTGGTGATTTCTTCCCCACCACCTCCCCCACTGTGAAGGGATTGCAACATGGCCATCCCCCCAGGAGGGTGCTTTCTCACTTCTCACTCTGTCTCTCTCCCTCTCTCCAGGGATAGTATGCGCCCTATGGCAATCAAACAAACAAGAACAACACAGAAGGATACATATTATATGACTCAACTTGTGGCAATAGGCAAATTAATGGAGACAGAAAGTATCAATAGAGTAGCTGCTTCTGGGGGCCAGAGAAAGGGAGTGTTAGTTCCTATCTAATGGGGACAGAGTTTCATTTTGGGAAGATTTTTTAAAAGTTCTGGGGGCTTGGGACCAGCAGCTAGCGTAATGGCTTTGTTGCTGAACTCCCATATAGTCTACCGTGGTTCGAGTCCCGGACCCGATGGCTTAAACTCACCCCGGGTGTGTGTATGTGCGTGCCCAAGATCCCAAGAGGAAAATAGAAGGGATTGTGGTGTGTCCATCCATCCTGGGGGGTAATTTCTCACCTTCTGTCTCTCTGTCTCTCTCTGTCTTTCTGGCAAGCGCACATACCCTATAGCAAAAACCTCTCCAAAAATAAAAAAAGTTCTGGGGCCAGCAGGTGTCAGTGGTTAAGACACTGGATTCTCCCATGGCCAACCAGTTTGAGTCCCAGACCTGGTGGTTTGCTTTCTTATTTTCCCTCTGTCTCTCTCTGGTAAGCACATGTACACTATAGCAAATTTAAAAAATAAATAATAATAAATAAAATAAAATAAATAATTATTTTTTTAAAAAGTTCTGGAGGTGGATGGTGGTAATGGTTATACAATTAACATGAATGTACGGAATGCCACTGAACTGTACACTTAAAATGATAAATTTTATATTATCTGCATTTTACCACAATATTTTTAAAAATGAGCTCATGTAAAGATTTTCAAATGAATGAATAAAAAATAACCAAAAAGAACAACACACAAACAAGGAAAATCTCTGCAAGAACTTGTCAAGTGTAGAAAGCAAGATAGGGTGACAGCCTCATGAACTAGTGGTTAAAGGAGCCAGATCCCAAATGACTGGCCACATGGTTTAAATCCCAGGTTCAGTAGCTTAAAAACATGAAGGGGCATGCCCTCCAAATCCCGACAAGATGGGGAAATAGAGAAAAGGTTGTGGTGTGACCATACCCCTTGGGGAGGGGGGGCGCTTTCTCCTGCTCCCTCTCTCTGTCTCTATCTCTGTCTCTGGTGGGCACATATGCCTTCTGGCAAAAAAAAAAAAATAAATAAATAAAAAAAGCAATGAGAATTACCATGTAACAGTGAAAATTACAACATTTCATTTCTGGTAGGGAGCAATGGGTGGGGACTGATTTTTTTTACCATTTACCCTTTGGAACACTTTGGGGTTTGGAACCATGGTATGACATGTTATGTACTTAAAGCAATTATGGGGGCCAGCAGGTGACGTGGTGATTAAAGCACTGGACTCCCACATGGCTGACTGTGGTTTGAGTCCCAGACCCCTGGAGGCTTTCTCCCTGTCTCTCTGTCTCCCTCTGGTGAGCACATTTGCTCTGTAGCAAATAATAATAATTTTTAAAAAGTAATAATAAGACTGGGTCAGCAGGTGGTGTAGTACTTAAGGTACTGGATTTTCATGTGGTTGATTACGGTTTGAGTACTGGACCTGGTGGCTTGAATCTCACACCAGGTGCATGTGCATACGTGCCCAAGATCCCGAGAGGAGAATGGAGGAGAAGGGACTGCAGTGTGGCCATCCCCCTGGGAGGTGATTTTTTACTTCCTATCTCTTTAGTGAGTGCATGTGCTCTATAGCCAAAACCTCTCAAAAATAAATAAATAAATTTTATTTAAACAAATAATAATTAAATAATTTTTTAAAAATAGTACGTCTGTTTCTGAATAGAAGAAAATAAGAATAGCTAATGTTGCCAGCATGGCAATGAGAAAGGCTGGTCGGGACCAATGCTGTTGAGTCTTTCCCGAAAGCAATTTGGAAATATGTTTCAAGAGCTTTGTTTTTCATATCCTTTAATCCAGTAATTACACTTCTGGGAATCTGAGGAAACAATCCAAAGTGCAGAAAATATTGGCGGACAAGCAGTTCAAGGAATGGTATATGGCGTCATGAAAACAGGGATGACCTAAATGTCCAACAACAGGGAGTCGTTTGGTCAGATGTACTCTTCTGCTGTGGACAAGTAGGATGCAGCCATTAAAATAATACCAGGGAGGAACCAGTAGTTGGTATAACAGCTATGTCGCTGGGCTTGCATGTGGTCGACCACGATTCGAGTCCCGGTCCTGGTGACTTAAACTCACACTGGATGCGTGTGCGTGCGTGCCCAAGATTCCAAGAGGAGAATAGAGGAGAAGGGATAGTGGTGTGGCCATCCCCTCAGGGGGTGATTTCTCGCTTTCTGTCTGTCTTCCTGGTGAGCACACGGGCCCTATAGCAAAACAAAAACCAGACCACGGGACCCATGAGAAAAAAAAAACCCCTCAAAAAAAAAAAAAAAAAAAATGAAACAGGGGCCAGCTGGTTGCATGGTGGTTAAGATAGCTGGATCCCACATGACCAACTGCGTTGTTCAAGTCTCAAACCAGGCACACTCTGGGCATGTGTGCATGTGTGTCCAAGTCAAAGAGGAGCATGAATTGCAGTGGGGCCATCCTCCTGGGAGGCAGGGATGCTTTTTCATCTTTCAATTTCCCTCTCTGTCTCTCTGTCAAGGATACCTACCTCATAGCAAAAAGAAAGAAAAAAGTTCCTAGAAAACTTACAATGAGGGGCCAGCAGGTGGCATACTGATTAAGGTACTAGACTCCAACATGGCCGACTGTGGTTCAAGCCCCAAATCTGGTGGTTTGAAAATTGCCAGGTGTGTGTGCGCATACGTGCGTGCGTGTGCATGGCTAAAATCCCAGGAGGAGAAGGGACTGCAGCGGGGTGTTGTTAGGGGGTGATTTCTCACTTTCTCTCAGCGTGTCTCTCTTGTGAGTTCATGTGCACTATGGCAAAAACCTAAAAAAAAAAAAAAAAAAAAAGAAAACTTACATTGAGGTGACAAAACAACAAATACCACATAAAGCGAGAATGTGGACTGTGGTCCCAGTGAATGTCAAACTCATTTAGAGAGGGAAATGTGGACAGTGTTAACAGCGTGGGACACCAGGTGACTTTGTCTCTCTGTTATGCTTGTTTTGCTACTCGCAGATGTTCCTGAAATTATCATGTGATACCTCAACAATACACAAATTATCAACAGGTTTTCCCTTTAGCTAATCACCCCCCTTTTTTTTTTTTTTGAGAGATTTTCACTGTAGGGCGCGTGCGCTCGCCAGACAGACAGAGAGAGACATAGAGACAGAAAGCAAGAAATCACCCCCCAGGGGGGATGGTCACGCCGCAATCCCTTCTCCTCCATTCTCCTCTCGGGATCTTGGGCACACACGCACACACGCCCGGCGTGAGTTTTTAAGCCACCGGGTCCAGGACACGAACCGCGGTTGACTACGTGGGAGTCCAGCAACATAGCCATTACGCTAACTGCTGGTTCCCTAGCTAATCACCCCCTTTTAAAAGATTGTGCTTGGGTGGGGCCAGCTGTTGGCACAGCGGTAGCACAACTGGACTCACATGGGAAAGGTGCTGGTTTTGCAACCCAGGATCCTTCAGAGTGCAAAGGGTACATGTGTATTCCTATAAACAGGCTGGCTGCAAAGGGGGGATTGCAATGCGAAGACCCCACTAGGAGTGTCCCTCTCTTATGGAAGAAAGAAATAAACTGACAAATAGAAAAGATTCTGGGCCAGCTGGTGTGTGGTGGTTGAGGCAGCTGGATCTCACATGGCTGACTACTCGGTTCAAGTCTCAGATCCAGTGACTTGAAAAACACGTGGGGGTGCGCGTGTCTGTGAGCCTAAAATCTCAAAAGGAGACCGGTGGAGAAGGAACTGTGGTGTGACCATCCCCCATGGGAGACGCTTTGTCATTTTTCTCTCTCTGTCTTGCCCTCTAGCAAAAAATTAAAAACAAAAAAAACCCCCAAGTTCCTGGATGTATCAAAGGCTGTATCAAGATAAGTTCAGAGCAGCCAGCACCTGTCATTAAAATAAATAAATAAACATTTTTTTTCTTTTGCACATCTAATGAAAAACATTGGTGTCTTGTTTCATTTTTAAATTTTTATCAGCAGGGACATTTTCATATGCTTACCGAGCACTTAAATGCTTCCATGAGCTATTAATTCATAATTTATATTCTTTGGTAACTCTTTTTACTGGGAATAACATTTTTTTTTCTTTTAGGCTTTTGCCATAGGGCATGTGCACGAGACAGAGATAGAGACAGAGAGAGATGGAAAGTGAGAAATCACCTCCCAGAGGAATGGCCACAATCTCTTTTCCATTCTCCTCTCTGGATTCTGGGCATGCATGCACGCGTCCCTGGTATCTTTTTCAAGTTACTGGGTCCGGGATCTGAACTGTGACGGCCACGTAGAAGCCCAGTGCTTTAGCCACCATACCACCTGCTGGCCCTGTATAACATGTTTCTTAATTATTTTATGAGCTCTTTCT